GGTGGGGGGGGGGGGGGGGGGGGGGGGGGGGGGGGGGGGGGGGGGGGGGGGGGGGGGGGGGGGGGGGGGGGGGGGGGGGGGGGGGGGGGGGTCGAAACGATCGCAAAGGCGGTATACTACGTATACGCGCCAACAGGAAGTCTGCAACGTCGCGAACCGAGATACATGGTCTGATAGTTTCATCGTCGATATGTTTTAGCGCTCAAGCAACCACGAGTACAAATAGTTGCTGCATTGGTATTTGAAGGGGTTTTAGCGATGCTGCTTCGAATCAGAAACGCTCAACAGCCGATTTACTCTCACTAGGATGAACCAGCATACATCCTACTTTATTATGATAAAATCATAAAAGTAACAAGTGAAGCATAACGCTTGAGGCGCGAAGGGCTTGGGGGAGGGCGGGGGTTGGACTGCAAGGCAGTCAGGGGACGTATCCCCTATTTACCATACAAATTCTTATTATGTATCTTTAACAGAATTCAATTTTACTACATCTATTATTATATCTATTTTTATTAGATCTTTTTTGATGAATACTCTATGGCCCTATGAAGTTTGTAAACGAGGAGAGTTCTCCGTTACTTTTCGCATGGCCCGGGCTTTCATTTTAAATTACTCTCCGACTGCAAGTGAGCTGAGGATTATTTCATCACGTGCGACAAGCACGCTGACAGCCGCGTTGGTGCACGGTCAAGGATAGAGTGAATCGTCGCAGTAGTTAGTCGCACGTACGGCTAGGAGACGCTGTTCATTGGAGTCGCATCAGACATCGACCTGGTATTTATTTCCTCTAAAACGATTTCCATCTTTGATGGCTAGCTGAAGTCTCTGAGCATTTTTCGTCGCCTGTCTTTTAAACAGTCAGTTGAACCGTATTTATATCAGTAGTTGAACAGTAGTAATCATATACAATACTACAGAAAAACACCGTATGAGCATTCGAGAATTGCCAAGTTTCCTCCGATAAAACGTTTATTCTTGAGGGGAGTTTCGAATATTTTTCCTTGAAATTTTCAGGATCTTTATGTGAAATTTTGGACATAATTATCTGAAAAATTTGAAGAAAAGTGTTCATAAGTAAACACAGAAAATTTATGTTTTTCTAAAGGAAATTTGGCAACGTCTAAAGGTTCATACGGCATTTTTCCTCAGCACGGCAGAATAGCTCTGCTGTAACAAAGATCAGATCATGATTGGTGTTTGAACCGGTGGTCCGCATTGAGCAAAAAAGTACTACAAACGCATGCATTCTCATGAATCCTTAAATAGGGAGTGCAGTCCAATGCTGTCATTTGGCAGGCAAAAAAAATGTCCTTCGAGGATTCAGAGATTAACAAATTTAAATAGCAAACATTTACTCGAGAAAAGTTATTTTTATTTGTTTTTAAGATTCATAAGGATTTTAGAATACATTTCGATTAGATTCAATGAAACGTAAGTAGGATATCTCGTAAATTCAGATGGGTTGACCAAAATAAAGTTTCAACATCCTGAAGGTTTAGTCAGCGGTTAATTTTAGCAGGGCAGAATGGAGCACCAGACAGCGTACGAGTGCTCCCTTCAAAATTGTACGTGCTTCATTTATTTTCACGGCGGAAAATTTGAAAATTAACTATTAGAGGAGATAAAATATATGTATAGCTAACATTATTTATGTGGCAAGTTAGTGAAAATTGAGAGTTCATATCTCATTTTGGAGTGGATTTTGCAACCCGCTATGCCTCCATTGCGTGAACCCTTCTTCCTTCTTTCCCCGCTCTCCTCAGGGAAAATGATCCTGCCTTTCATTGGCTGGAACTTAGAAAAATTAATAACTGCCGCAGATCTGGGAATACTTCAGGTATAAACTTCTCCCACTGTGAGTCAGCGAGTCAGCGTTGGTGTCAACCGCGTAATTACTCAATCAGAAGCGATTCCTTTTATGTAATACCGCACCTAGATCACGCCGATCATTTCGGAACGTTTTGGCTCTAATCGTCGGATCGGCTGGATTCTGGCGACCAGCGTTATCGATTTATGTCAATCCAAATTTATTGGCTTCGCCGTCGAAGAGCGTCGGTACTTGAAACGAACGAATTAATTTACCAAATCGGCAATCATGGTATCTATGGGAATTGAGCTGCGCTTGGATGAACTGACTAAATTCTCATCGTGAAGATTTCTCAGCTCGGTCCTCTTCAGATGCGCATTGGCAGTTTAATAACCCCTGGATAGTTGGTCTACCTCCATGATCTTCCTACTTTTTGTTAGTTGGTCAATAATTTCCCTTTTTAAGATCTGCATGAACTACTCCCTTGTAAATATGAATGTATACCTATAGCGTCTGCTCTAGAGTACCTAGAAATCCTCTTAGAACAGTGATTAGTATCATTGGATGTTGAGGTAAGAATTGTACATGTTCAACCAAAATGATTAACCAAGGAGGTTGACATTGAAAGTACAAACATTCCCTTAGTATTTTGTAAGCAAGCACCATGACAGCAAACAAATGAAAACTATTGTATATACCTTATGAGCTTCTTGCAAATTAGTGCTGCACTTAGAATGCGTTGATTAAAGTTACGTAATTTTTTAAAAACATTGACTTGATTAAAAATATCGAAAATATCATTGAATAATAGGATACTATGGTAGATATTTACATATTGAAATATGGAAATAGAGCAGATGGAAAGACGGCGCAGAGATACAACTATTCGTGATTGCTGGATGTCTGTGTTGCATCTGCAAAATTGAAGGCGCGGTGGCGCGAGCTTCAGGTCTGAGATGTTCCGCAGCTCTGCGTCATGCTGCCCATAGGGTGTCGTGAGAAAAGTTAAGAAATGAGGCTCGATTATTACGGCTCTCCATTTTAAGGCTGTGTTGCTCATACAGCTTTTAAAGCACCGCTAATAATACAACTAGGACAAACTGAAACAAACCCAGTATAGACATAGAGCAGAGTAAAAAGAGGCGCATTGATGACGGCGCAGAGATACAACTATTCGTACATGATGGATGTCCGTGTTGCATCTGCAAAATTGAAGGCGCGAAAGCGCTTTGCGTGAACTCGCAATGATCCGTTCTACATATGATGCCAGTGAGGTGTCGCTCTGATTCGAAAGAAAATTTTAAAAAAACCAGCCCTGATTACGTCTCGACTCAGTTGTTCCTCAATTTTTTCTTCTTTTCTCAATTTGAAGTTTGATTCTTTTTTAAATGTACAAATATGTATAGAACTACATCTACGACTTGTATGTATCGCGGTCCCTTACAACTCGCGTGGCACGTTTTTTAAGCGGGGCATGGCGGTTTTGGAGTCACCATCAGTAGTTGCATAAGTAATGCAAATTGGAAACAAATGTACATGTAAATTTTTCCGATGGCATGCCGTTTTTGAAAGAAATTTCCAAAAGCATTAAAAATGATGTCAAATAGGTATTTTTCAGATTTTGTTCGTTCTGTTATTCGACCGGTCGGAAAGCAGACCAATCTATTAGAAACCGTCGAAGTTATGGGACCCTCTAAAGAAGAGATAAGACATTCCTCTGGTATTAAAAAAACAACTCTAGTCAAAAACCTGAAGATGGCTAGATGCTGAATGAGAAGCTTTACTCTCATCTCAGAATACTTGTACTATAAAATAAAAATGTATCTTATCTTTATACGAGCACTCCTTTTGACCGCTAATTCTTTTTTTTTTCAGGTATACGAGGAGCAAGGCTACGAGGACTCTGCTTATGATCATGGAGGCTATAAGAAAAAGGGAGAGATGCAAGAGGCAAAAGTTTCTCTCGACAAAGGGCATCACGGCACGAATTCTAAAGTGAATCGGAAAGGTAAAGATAAGATTGAAGAGTCACCTGCTGCGTCAGTGCGGAAGCCCCAATCAGAAGCACCACTCAACACCACTGCAGAAAAACTCATATTCTACCCGAAGGTAGAAGCTGCCATCGAATCTGCTAGCAACTACAAAACCTCAGTCTCCAAGAAACCTCCGACCAGTAGCAAAAGACGACCACAAGCTAGCCATAGTCATCCCGTAACGCACTACAAGAAGCATGCATATACTCCACCCGAGTTTGAAGGTGCGGTCATCGAGAAGTTTGTTGTCATAAACGGGAAGCAAATTCCAATATTTCGTAAGAATTTGAAACCCATGAAAAATATGCGAACGCGGCCCTTTGAGGATGAATCAAGTCGGCCGAAAACCAAAAAAAGACTGAATAATAAGAAGAAAGTTTATCCGTCCAAGTACCCAGATGTGCCAAGCTACCATTCAAATCCAGAAGTGTTTGTAACGACTCCCCCAAAATTTAAGTATGTGACTGATACAGATGGAAAATACTCGCACTCTTACAATCGACCTACGACAAAGTTGAAATCATTTCATCCAGACACGCAGGGTTCTTTAAGCTCCGCATACCACTTTACCAATCCTGGCCCTTTTCGCTACGTGAACAAGGTTGAGGTCATAAACGGGAAACCAAAATCACCTACTAGACAACGCCAGCGTTTAAATAAAAAACCACCCTCTTTCCCAGAGAGTGAGGAGTCACACACAGAAAAGCTGCCTTCCTTAAACTCCGCTGAATTTGAGAGTAACTTCAAAATCAAGGACCGACCTGCATTGAACATCAATCCTCCATCAACTGAGCTTTCGATTTTTGGAGAGCCGGATACTTCACCATGGGTACCAATCACACCCCCTCCCGAATACCAAAACTCACCCCCTCCCAAAGTAAGTAAAGGTGGTCGCAAACCGTCAAATGGTCCTTCACATTTTAAAGGACCTCCTTCCGCATCAAATTTTGATGATGGGGGTCCCATTGTCAATGACAAATTTATTGGCTTTCCGGACTTTCCAAATGAATTTCCCAATCCTGACATGAAACCACCAAAAGCACAATTGCCTCAAAAACACTTAAAAAGACCAAAACAAAACAGCTGGCTTGGATCCACTCATGACATTCCAGATAACTATAAGCGACCGTACAGCCGGCCAAAAACTCCTCCTTCAGTGAATCAGAATTACAACAGCGATTTTCACCAGTACACAAATCATGAGGATCATTTCAATCCTCATCAGAACTCGCCATTTAGGATAAAATCTGTAGCCAGGCCTCACGAATCTGCCCAGTTTGGAAGTGGCGAGTCAACAGAGGGATCTTCCGAAGTCATGAAGCATAGAGGACGGAAACCGGAAAGTTTTATTGTTCCGCGCCATCCGGGTGGTCAATACGTTTCAAACAAATTCAGAAATACCAACAAATTCAAAAGTCAGCCAACAAGGTATTCTTACTTTAACAGGGAGAATGACCCGAAGGAACCATATGAACCACAGTTTAGTACCTTCAAGAAACCGAAAGATCCCGACACTTTCAAATTTGAGACTTCAAATTTTAGGAAGCCGGGTGACTCAGAGCCTTTTAATTTTGAGACTGACATAGAGTCTACCCCTATGAGTGGACCGTTTTTCCCTTATCAAGAGCAATCGCCTCCTAAAAAACCTCCCCGAAAATCACCGGTGAGAACTCGTAATAAAACTAACAATATTCCAAAGAACCAGAGACCTAAAAATCAAAATCAGCAACCGAGCTCGTTTGAAAGTGAGCCATCATTTGGGGAGTTTCCCGGGTCATTTGAAAGTGAGAAGTTCGTAAAAAATGTAGATAAAGAAAATTTTGGCGGGAACCAAGGATTCGGTAATGTGGACCACTTTCCTTACATGAGTGAACAGCATGAGCCATACCGCCCGTCGCATAGTTCAAATCACATGGGTCATGGGAGCACTTTCTCCGATTACAGCCCACAATTCAACGTTCACTCTAGTTACAGTTTTGAACCTAGCTTCCCTGAAAACATAGCTCTTACCACTCAAGCTCACATGGAAGTCGCTCCTACGTACCCTTCTAGCTATAATCCAGTTCCTCCTCCGACTGCTCCACTTGACTCCTCAAAATTTTTCTCAGAAAATCATGAACATGTTGAGCCCAAACCCTCAAAAATGAACGGAGAAAATAGTCACAAGAGCTCACAATTCTTAGAACCGAGTTCAACAAGCAACCTCAACGTGACGGTAATGTCTTATTCACAGGACAACTCGACAGCAACTCCGCCATTACAAACAACCTCAGAACAACCAACTTTTGAAAAAACGACCACCACACCTAGAGAAAAACCTAACAGCAGGTACCGTTGGCGACCACGAAAACAACCAACTCAACACCCTCAGCTTGGAGATTGGAGTGGTAAGAACAATAGCAGTAGAGGTGAAATTTTTAGACGTAGAACTCGGCCGAAACAGGAAATTCCTCCAAACCAATTCAAATTGAGCTCCCGGCCAGATACAGAGAGAGACTCGGTTCCTAAACCATCAAATAATTACTACCCCAGTGTCATGACACCTCCAAAATTTGGACTGAATGATGCGCAGCGTTTTCCTAATCTACAGCTTCATTACACAGTTCCCGATTTTAGTGCTATGAAAGATAAAGGTCGGCCGCAGTCAGGATCAATGAAGGAGAATAAGTCAGCAAGCTACTCTGTAGACCATTTAACCGATCAGGTCATGCATGCTACGTCAACAATTTCAACAAGGGAAAAAAATTACTCCAGTACAGGACAAGGTTTGCAACCCCCAGTTGGCACGACAGCAGAGAATAATAGCACTCATGTCCAACCTGAGGTTCTAATTACAACGGCCAGTCAGAACTCAAAACATTACCAAACAGTTTCCAGGCAAAATCAAACCGCTCAAGAGACAGGACAGACTTCCAACCAAGCTGTAGACTCGAACCATTCACCCATTAATTCACGACACCCTTTTCTCCCAAAAGACATGGAATCCAACATGCACGGACAGCAAGTCGTTTACAAAGACGGTGGTAAAAAAAATCAATCTGATGTTCTTGTAACTTACTATGGGTCGTTTGATGTTCCGGAGAAAGTTTTAAAAAATGAAAAACCAAACGAAATATCAGAACTTCCAAAAAAACCAGAAGAAATAGCGCCTATTAAATATATCGAAAACCTCACTCTTCAGCACTATTCGATGCCTGAAAATTCTCTACCCTACCAACCACTCTCAAATACTCAACAAAACAGGATCATCAATATTGCAAATGAGTTGAATAAAGAACCTCCGGCTGCAGAAAAGAACTCGTCCAATCGTAGGCATGATGTGAACAAGCCGTTTTTTCAAACTTACATGGGTTATCCCTATTCAGCTGTTGATGGCCGCAATGAACGTGCTTTCAACTTATCACTAGATCAGAATAATAACACAAAAATATCCAACAACAAGACTGATCAATCCACGAATGTAGATAGACTCCCACTTACAGTTCACATTAATAAAAGAAAAACAGAAGCCGATCGAGTTTTAAGCTACAGTGATCTACTGGAGCAGCTTGAAAAACAGAGATCAAAAGTTAACTCAATGAATATCCAAAACTCAACGGATGCAATCAATTCAGGTTCTGAGCAGAAGAAAAGAACGCGCAGGTCAGCAAGTAATACCGATTCAATTGGACGAAAACGCATGCTCCTGGAAGTAGCGTCAGAAGGTACAACAACTTTAATGCCGATAGATGTACAAAAGTTTCCCTTCTACACCTCCTTGGATGCAGATAAGACAGCTCAGTTCTCACCTCTTAGGTATGCCCAAAATCCACAGCACATTCCAAAAAAATCAGGTCATGGCATGGAATTCTACGAGTCTAGAAAAAACATTAATTGTGACGATCCCGAGGGACCCCAGAATGTTGTTCCTAAAAGGGCTGCTGATGGCGAATGGAATGAACGACCTCAACCAGAAAGCGCCCGCCTACCAGAGCTTGGTGACAGAATCAGGTGTTTTAGAAGAAAATTCTTTGATGAGGACCCTTTAGATAACCCATTCTTCAAAGAGGAGTTCATTGGCCCGCCCCAAAGAATAAGGGTTGCCAAAGTTATTTATGAAGACCAAGAGGACGATAAAAATGAAGATGGTGATACGATTGTTGATGATGAGCTCCGAGAGGAAGAAGAGGAATCAGAGGAGGAAGACTCATTCGAACCTCAAGAGTCAAGAAATTTGGCGACGTATACTACGCCAATAGAGGCCCCCGATAAAGTTGCCTCGGCCGCAAAATCCTCCGGTCAAGTGCGTCGTATTCTCGGAGATGATTTTGGACTGTATAAAGATGTCATTAGTAACATCAAACACATGAACGAGGCAGCATATAGAGATGAAATAACTAATAGTGAAAACATAAATAAATTTAACGATACTTCATTAAACTCAAATAGAGGTGATAAACATGGAAATGAAGGCACTGGGGGGAATGATTCAATTGGTTCCCAGTCTGAAAAAAACACAGAAAGTGTACATTCCATTTTATCAATGCCTAAAGACTACATTAAAAATCACAAGTGGCAACATCCCCGCCACACAGTGAAAGACACGCGAAAAAATCAAACTTTAGGAAGAAATCAATTTACGGACTCAGTTTCTTCCGAGAACGATCCAGAAGCAAAACATGCGTATTTTCAATCCGATTTACAGAATATTTTTCAAAATCGAACAAAAATTGGAGGAAATTTCTTGAAATCAAATCATTATGATGATATGTTTAAAGATCCCTACTTCAAGAACACACATTACCCCTCAAATCTTTTTCAAAAATCGAAATATGCATATCCATACTTAAAAAAATATCGAAAACCTACTAATCATAAGCATCACAAAATTATACGGTCAGGAGCTAAGTTCCTGATTAAAAAGAGACCTCTTAACCCGATTGTATCCAACTCTGTTTACGACTACTCTTCAGAGTCTCAAGAAGTTGAAACTGATAAGGAAAAGTTAAAGATGGTTGGAGTTCCAAGTAAGCAAATTATTCACATGTATCAGCAAGCCCCTATTTTTGACCTATTTAGCCCCTTGGAAAATTTAATGGTTGAGCCAGCTGAATATTCTGACACGCCAATAAAAATTGTGCATAATTTCTACAATTTACAGGTTTCGCCAAAATCTAAAAAGCATGGGTCATTAACAGATCATCACAAAGAGACCGAGCCTGAATATTCGAACTATAACTACAATTACAACTACTATGATGAAAATTCTCCAGGAAATGAGGACCCAGAGCATCCAGAATATGCAACCTCCCCTGAGTATGCACAATCCAGTCCTGAAGATTCTGATTACGGTCACTCAAAACGGAGATTTCTAAATAGGCCAAAAATGACTTTTTCATCCTACCCGAGCACAAGCAACAGCTACCCAGAGTATAGTTGGTTGCCTTCTACAGTGTCGAACCTGATGGGAGAGTCTCCCACTGGAAAATTCCGGCGGCACAAGCGCGACTTAAAATCTGACATATTCCCCGCCTCCGAGCCCTTTTCAATGGTCTCTAGGATGGCAAAATCTGTAACTAATCATAATTCAAACGCCACTACTGTTAATAACTTAATATACAATTTCATCGAAGCTGAAATAGATACCGCTCTGAATAAAACGGAAAATAAAAATATCACAAGGTTGAAGAAACGTACGCCTTCTGCAGCGACTCGCAAAATTAGCCTGGATGATGCAGAGACGTTTATGAAAACTGCACAAACCATGTTTTATCCAAAATTGCTGTTATTGCGTGAGGTTAAAATTGACACAACTCGAAGACCGGAGCCTCTGCCTGGGTTCATCAGTCGGCATAACCCCGTCTTTAGCAGTCGATATAATAAAGAGCTGACTGAATTCCATAATGGAACTTGGACCATGAAGAGGAACCTTACAACGACACCACCAACAACCACCGAAGCTGCTCCAAGCAGTCAAAAGCCAAGGTTTAAGTTCCGCTTTCCCTCGCGGGCTGTGAAGCAAGGAAACACAATGCCCACCGTCAGATCGGTTGCTTCTGAGTCAAACTCTAACTTTAGTATCGTCCCACCATCGCGAAATTTACTGAAACCCGACGATATTCTGCGACGTCCCAAACATGTGGACGTTTACGAATCCTTGCGACGTCTCAAGGGTGAGATGATACCCAGTCCACCAAATAAAAGACCAAAACCCGTCGAAAAATATGTGAATAGAGGGTCTAAAGTGTTCTCTGAGACTTACAAGCAGAACACTGAGGCCATTGTTGATCAAGATGGGAGCCATGACACTAAGGAGTCCCCGTCGTTCACGGAGTCAAGCCATCTTACAGACTTCGTGACGACGATTAACCCTATGAAAGATTCGTTGATCTACGTTGTCGCTCCTGAGTCCGGGCAAGGTCAATGGATGAAGGAAATCAAAGTTGAGATGCCCAATACTCCGTGGCAGCCCTCGGACCCATATGAGAGCGCACAAGTCCATCAAAAGCGGGTCCCAGTAAACAATATCTTGGCAGGAACTGGCCTATCGGCCAATTATGACGATCCGTTCGGGTTTCATTACGGACTCCGGACTATGCAACATAGGAAGACACCGTCTCGGAGTCGTGGGTCTGCTCTCGACCAGGGTCAAACTCCAACAACTCAGACGATTGAAATCGTCAAGCTTATCGACGGAGCTGTGGTCGAGGAGAAAGTAAATCTTGACGTATTTTCTGCGGATCTCAACGGCTGAATGATCCCCCGAGGCAAGTATCCTTTGTGTACTTTTCTTTTTAAATTATTAGGATGCAGTTTTTTCCATTTTTTCATAAAAGGTAGCCTATATTTCGAAAGCTGTGCAGCTCCTGATAGTCCTTTACAGAATGAGGGATTTTTGTAATTACCTATACTGCCGTGCCAAGGAAGAACGCCGTATGAACATTCGAGAGTTGCCAAATTTCCCTCAAAAAATGTTTATTTTTGGCAACAGTTATGAATATGTTTCTTTGAAATTTTCAGGGACTTCAGGTGAAATTGCGGACAAAATTATCTGAAAAATTTGCGCGAAAATATTCATAAGTTTTCCAGAATATTAGCGTTTTATCAAATGAAATTTGGCAACGCCTGAAGGTTCATACGCCGTTTTTCCTTAGCACGATAGTATAGCACTCTTCTTTAAACCTCGTAAGAAACCGAGAGAAAATATTCACTGCACTCATCGGACTCTATGAAAATTTAAGGTGATTCGTTGGACGCCATATTTTGTGTCAGAACGGCATGTGATATATCGCATCAATTGGATCAATTTTTTCAGCTATTCGTCATTTTTCTCCAATTTTGAGATCGCAATTCTGTTGTCAGGAGACTAGAGCACTCACTTACCAATTTTAACAAGGAAATTCAACGTAATAAAGGCGTGGTTTTTTTAAAGAGAAAACATCGCATTCGAGTGCAGTTTCGATATCAGTATCGAATGCGATGTTTTCTCACTANAAAAACCACGCCTTTATTCCGTTGAATTTCCTTGTTAAAATTGGTAAGTGAGTGCTTAAGTCTCCGAACAACAGAATTGCGATCTCAAAATTCGAGAAAAATGACAAGTAGCTAAAAAAATTGAACCAATTGATTCGATACATTGCATGCCGTTCTAACTTATAATATGGATTCCATCGAATCACCTTAAGTTTGATAAGAATTTCAGGAATCACAGAATATATTAATGTGTATAAAAATAACTGAAAAAATACAGCCGGCTGGAAATTGTCCAACAACTTAAGTGCACGCAAAATAAGTTCAATCTGTTTCGAAGAGTGACGGGAAATCTACTGTCAGCATAAAATGACTCAAAAAATTTAAATGCGAATATTCCGTACCACTCAAAAAGTGGATGAGCCGGGTGACATGGGTTATTTATTGTGGACTCAACTAAGTGGCTCATAAGGCCGATCTTAAAAAATGTGACTGCTTGGCCCTTAATATCCCTTATGTCCTAGCCATGAGAATGAAGGCGCACAATGCTCCGTCTCATATAAACATGGATTCATTTAGAAAAAAAAAAGAGTATAATCCCTACTTAACAAGTTCATGCAAAATTATGTCACACGCACGCGTCGAAATATTCACATTTTTCAAGATCGACCTGCTAGCTCATGTGTTTGCCAATTTTTAACAGTGAACCTCAAAAAATCAGGATTTTTATTAATCCTGGTTTTATTTGTATTTCATTGTTATCGCATTACCTCCAAACAGTCATTTTATTTACTTTCTTTATATTAAAGTTCAGATAACGTTTACTGTAAAGGGATACTTCCTTGCATGCGTTTGATTTACGCAATATCAACTTTAAATAATAATATAAATTACTCGTGTACATTTCATGGAAATCTGATTTAATATTCCCAAGGATGAGGCTGATTCCAAGTATTATTTGTTTTCTTACGTCTATAAGTTTTTCTTGGAAAACCTATTTTGCGCGACGGATCAAAAAATGGCAAAAATACGACTGATATCCTCCCACATAAGTGCTATAATTCCCAATGACTCAAAAAACTTAAGGCTCCAAACAAAACGCCGTAAATTGATTAAAATTTAATGATTTCCAAATTTTCTGATCAAAAAATGACGGATAAAGCTTTCATCAATGTTCAGATCAGCAATGATAATTAAACTTACAGTAATTTTTGATGAAAATAATAAAAACCAAAAAATGGACGATGATTTAACTCAATTGCACTGTAAATAAAACTTGGGACGCATTTTTAAACCTTTTGCGTCATCTTTATGCCGCGCACCGTGGCATACGGGCGATGCGTGAAGTATTCCTACAGTCTTGTAGGCGCTAATATGCGATTCATGCCGTTCGCACTGTGTTTTGCGCAATACGTCAAGTATTTCTACAGTCTTGTAGGCACTGGTATGCGTTTCACGCCAACCGTGTTTCGCCGCTGAAGATGACGCCAAAGGTGTCGAAACGCGTCCCAAGTTGTATGAATAATGCATGTGACTTTAATTTTCGTCCATTTTTTCGTTTTTAAAACCTGAACCGTTGACTTGTGTGGCACTATTTACGTGCACTAAGATCATTTCCGATTCTTTTTTTCAACAGGTTTGCGTGGGTAGGTTGGTGCTTCTCACGACAGGCTTCCTGGTTTTTGTTAGGATCACCGCCTTGCTATCACGTACCTCAGTGGTGATAAGTAACAAGTGCCAGAATTTCTCTACGTCACATGTTCGTTTATCCAAAGCGTTTCACGTCATCCCCACCTTACACACTGAAAAGCAATGCAGGCAAAACGGGTCAATCACTGTGAGGTGCTTTCAAAACCTTCGAGGGCGATTTTCATGGTTACGTCTACTGCAATTGCAACATCCATCATCAAAATAGAATTTGCGCTCTATTCTACGATCGTCTGTTAATGGTGGTGATTTTTCCATTTTATGATTTGAAAGTAACATACTAGCTTTGTGTTGAATTTATGTCATGGTGATGGAAACATCATCTATAATCATGACATCTTTATTTCGTAGGTTGTCATTTCTTGCGGTCTCATGTTAATTATTATAGTTCACCATTCGGAGTTAACTTTTGACGAAAAGAGAGTAAGAAATCTTCATATTAGAGGGATGCAGAATTTAGGTGCCAATCGTTAAAATTGTGTTTCGACTACCGTAATTCTACTTGCAGAGACATCTTCATTTTGTATCTTCAAAAGAATAGAAAAGAGATCGCTGAGGGAAAAATTTTACAGCAAACTTTAAAAGAATGTTTGAAAATTGTTTATGACTTAAACCGATTTAAACAGAAGAAGAAGTTACAAGAAATCGACACACTTTATAATGCGCTTTATAAACGCCTTCTCAACGACGTTTTAATGTTCTTACATTTTTAACAGTGCATGAGAAAGTGTACCCTCTTTCTCCTACGCATATGGATGATCTTGCTGTTCGCGAGTATCATAAATCATATTTTTAAGACAAAATGAAGAGTTAAGAGTATGTGTTAAATGAATCTCCGCTATTTTGTGTTATTCGGGTTTCAGAAATACTGGTAAAGTCTACGGAATAGTAATAGTATACTATTGGTTTCCTATATGTATGTTTCTAATTTTTCATTGCAACGGAATTATTTTCATTTACTTCTAAAGGTAATTACGAAATGAATTCGTGTATCGATAGCTTGAAAGGATGTAATAACAAACTGTTTCTGGATTCGTTGATGATTAGATTTTCTTACGTTTTAACAAAAATGTATAGCCTCTTTTTAAGATCAGTAAGCAAGCCAAAATATTTTCTTTTCATCAATTTTTAGTGGAGTTTGACTTATAAAATTTCCTCGTATTTGAATCATAGTTAATCCTCCAATGGAAATCTAGACACGGAACATGTCGACAAGGTAAGTCCGCAATTACGTATCTTTGTTTGCGACGTTGCAGACATTGCTGTACCTTATTTTCAGAGTGGAAAGCTACCCGACGGCAATTCTTACCGTCGTGATTCTTCATCTCAGTACGAAGAAAATTCTGCGAAAACTTCAAGAGACGGTGTTAATTTGTTCTCCTTTAAAAAATAAAATTGGAGCGGATATTTTCAAATACCGCAATTCAAACGAGGTACGCGCGGTGGCGGACTTACGTCGTCGGAATGTTATATTCTCACCTGCGAGTTAAATTTTCAAATTTCCGATGTGCCTGTTGCTTTTATTCGAAATTGTGACGAGATGACATGTATTATGGTGCTAATATCTTATTAAGGGTCGATGATTTTTTTCAAGGAAAAAAGAGGAGACAAGGAATTTTCTTGTGAAAAATGCAAACCATTCCTCATTTCACTCCAGTCAAAAAGCTTCGAGGGTTTTGATGTAACTTTTCGAAAAAAAGAAAATGGTGTTTTTTACGTTGGAATTTTTAAGTGTTACCAATGATTTTTATTTTATGTAATTTTACTTATTTATTGTTTCAATAAAAAGCCATATTTGACAAAGTATATCAAGAATAGAGTTTCCTACGACCTTACCCTTGAATCCTTTACTTGTCATTACCTAGCTCTTCCAATACAATTGGTGAGGCAATAGATCAACCTCTGTGATCTGACAGTTTTAGATGTCAAGTTTCAAGTGTCCAGTCATGATGGATTTTTAACTGAAATTTGCGCAGAAACTGTTCAACATTTGCAGTGAGTTTTAGAAGCTTGCATGAGAGCTCTCCAAAATGTAAAAATTAGGGATTATTTCGAATTTAAGACGCCATAGTTTTGAGTGACCTTTAGAAACCTTCGTAAAAGATAAAAAAAAAAAATTGATTTGCAACTTTTTGATTTGACCAACGAAGTCCTATGCCTTTATTGCGCATTGTAATGATGAGCACTAAATAAAAGAAGTTCAGGATTAATCACTGCTCCTTTAGTCGTAACTTATCGAGTGCATAGAATTGCCATATCTGGACTTTTTTAAACTTTCACTTTTCCAGTTTCAAAATTTTAAAAAGAATTCACATTTTTATTTAACAAGCGTGTTCTTCCTTGAATACTGATCCGTTAAAAGTAGCAGTTAATGTTACAGAACACTTTTTAGAATTACTACACATGATTCATTCATGACGACGCAGCTTCCTAAGAATTTTTCAAAGCAGGAAAAAAAATAATTCTTGGAAGGCAGTTAACAGTCAATAACAGCACAAATGCTGTGATGGCATACCAAATAGTAGTCTTATGTAAGACATTTTTCTTTTAAAATATTAATTTAAAGACGCTCATGATGGAAACTTCTTTAGGATTCTTCATGACTTGGTTGCACTGAAAGGGACCTCCGGTGAGCTCCGAAAATTTTGTCTACGGAAAACTCCACTCGTAAGAAAGAAAGTGCTCAATCATTACGCATGCACGCATAAAAGGAAAACTAATTAAACCGCGCGTTGCCATATGTATTCAAATATGAGTCTTTTTATTTGTTCATTTCTGGAAACAGTTCCTTCAATACGAAATATGAGTGAAATGGACTACTTTACTGATGTAATGATACATACACGTATTGCTGTACACGTGTAGTTTTGAATTATTACGGGAAAAGTATGTGTTATTCATTTTGACTTCAGATAAAGAAATTCATAAACATATCCCAATGTCTATTGCAGGAATTTTGGCAACCCCCAGATCCGGAATTACATGGCAGGATAGACCTAATCCACTGCCACGCGCCTGGCTACCGTGCGTCGTGTGTATTGAAGAATTGTAAAGAATAGCGAATACCCATGTTTTGCGTGTGTGCCTGATTGCGTGCGCGAGAGAGAAAGTTGCCAGCAAATATGGAATCATGCATATCAATAAGATGTTTTCCGTAGATCGTCCCTTGCAGATCCTACCTCGGATGCGCGCACTACGCGTGCGCGACGGGAAACTAATCTTGCGCACAATAAGGCGCCGTTAAGCTCCGTGGACGCTCTCTTGAATTTGACTTTCACAATCGGTGACATGCGTGAGCTGAGTCGCCAAAACTTGCGCGAGGGGTCCTGGAAATGGAAAACTGTGGAGTCTCTAAAGAAAACGTGCGAGCATACCCATTATCATGTTGTACAGGTGATATGCAAATGATATGGCATTCAAAGCGTTGCGTGCTTTGCGATATATCTGTCACAGGCAATCAGCAATCGCTGGCAATTCACAAGCCAGTGGTGAATAAATATAGAAAATTATAAAATTCAAAAATAAAAGAACAAGATTTGGGTGCAGATTATGTTGCCTATAGTGTGAATAGACACTTTTCCATCCTTAAAAACACGGTAGAAATATACACAATCAGGAGAGAGAGCAGTGAACTCTGTGACATTAGTCGGGTTGAGATCGGACAGGCATAGCTAAACTAACATCGTGGCAAAGCGTAGAGTATCACAAAAATTGAAGGCGCTTCAAGCCGAGCTCATACTTTGGGAGCTCATAACCCTTAAAAATTGCATTACACTGGTAAAAAAAAAAAAAAAAAAAAAAAAAAAAAAAAAAAAAAAAAAAAAAAAAAAAAAAAAAAA